AAGGTAATACTTGCAACAATTTGCTTTTTTTCCTCATTTTGACATTTCAGTTGACTATTGTTATACGTTAATTAACAGTTTCACCTGCAGGAGGGAAAGGGTAGAAATGAATACAATTTTTAAATAAAAGCTCCTTTCTCTCACTATTAACTTGTTCTATTTGAAGCATAATTATGTGAGTTAGTTTATTTTTTGGTGACCACTTCAGAATGTGTGTGTATGTGGAGAGAGAGAGAGAGCACCCACGTGAGCAGTGACTGCTCGCTAGACATGAAAATCCATGTTCTCATTTCTTGGCCAAACAGATAAACTTATTCCCAGCCTCCCTTGCAGTTGGGTGTGGGTATGTGACTAAGATACAGCCAAGAGAATGAGAATGGAAGCTGTATGTACTACTTTGAGTCCCCTCCCCTAAAAACCTCCCCTTCCAACAGACTGAAATAGAAAAGACCCCAGGGAGACCTTGGAAGTTTGGTACTGAAAGCCGAGGTACTGAAAGACCTTGGAAACTAAGTAGTATTGAACTACTTGTTCACTTGAGCAAGAAACAAATTTGACTCATTATACATTTTGGGGTTAATCTGTTACGGCAATTAGCCTATTCTAATTAATTCAATATACAAAGCTTATATTTGCAGTGTCTCTATAATGCACAACTCCAGGGAGCACCATTTACATTGTAATGTATGTAAATAGCATTTCCTGAAGCACAGTTAAGAAGCTACAGTACGTATGTATACATATGGATATATATATAAATGTCCATCCTCTCCCCACCCCCACTGGAGTTGTGCAATGATGTAGCTCTGCCAAGCTAACTCCAACTTCTCTCTTGGGTTTTATTGCATATGAATATCAATTTGTGTAAAGGTACTTCCCTTTTTGTATCTGTGCTAAGAGATTAAGGTGGAATGGATCATCCAACAAGACTCTTAAGGGAAAAATGTATACTTAGGGTCCAAATCAGATCTCTTTCTTGGATTCATTCAACTGTGTAGCTACATACTCTTCTTATAACCTATTACGCTTCGGCATTAGGAGGGTGTTAGGAGCCCCCCTACATACACACACTTACTGCTGTGAGTAATAAAAGCTTTTCTGGGCCTGCCTTTCCTCATCTGTAAAATGAGAGTTGGACTATCTGACCTCAAAGATCCCTTCACTAAAATTTCTACCGTCTATGACTATAAGGTCCATAGCTTTTGGTAGAAATAATTGTTACTGTGAGTGTTCCTTTGGATTCCAAATTGATAATACAGAGGTGCTTAATAGTAACCTGAAGTTTTAAAAAAGATATTTAACTTGCACCAATTCACAGTCAAAGAGGCACAACAGAGGTTCTTCTCTTCTCCCAAACAAAAACTATTAAATTGAAAAGATATTTTTTAGAGTAATTTTAAAGCAGTGCGTCACCTCTCTGATTTCTTTACACTGTAGGTAGAGAAGTATCAAAGCTAAGGCAGAATGTGATATCTGTTGAAATGATATATTACAAAAAAAGTAAAAAACTAAATAGCAGATTATATAGTTGTTCACTGAATTTAGCAGTTAAAACCTTAAATTTTACTGCTTTTAATTGTATACTTATGCTCTAATGATTCAGTGTAATAACAATTGTTACCAATATAGACATTCTATATAGAATATATAGTGCTAAATCACATTTTTGATTTAGCTGACTGAAATGAATCTTCACCTATTTGTCTGCTGGTGGGGTTTTAATTTCATAGATTTCAACTTCAGTTACAGCTAAAATATACATTATCCAGTCTTGATGCAGGCATGGAACTGCCTTTAACTCACATTCTTTTGCTGCAGGAGAGCTGCAGAAATATGGACCTCATTCAGGGATGATACTGTTTTAGAAAGGAGAAAGGACAGGCTCTATAACATTGTTCAAAGTGGAATTTTTATGTTAAGAGAAAGCGATGTATAGGCTAGAGTAGATAAGAAGGAGGAATCACAGTAACTTTTTTTTTCCACAAAAGGAACAAGACAGAAGAGAGAGCCTGCAATAGTATTTTGAGTACTAGTAGACAAGCATAGAATCTAAAATATCCTTACATAATTGCAGAAATTGGGAAACAATCTTTAAAATGAGGCGATGGATAAATAAGTTTTGGTATATCCATATGTTGGAATGCTATGCAGATGTTAAAAACATGTTTTCAATAACATGAGAAAATGATCATTATAAACTATAACTCCTTTATACCTATCAAACAGGAATCAATCTTTTTCTTTCCATCTTCTGTACTCTTCCTCATGCCACTTCCTCCCCACCCCAAATATAAATAAGAGCATAATGGAAGAAATGTTTTAAGCAGAGATGCATAGACAGTCAATTTTAAAGCTTGAAGGGATTTTTGAGATTAGTCAAAATTCAACGTTTTGCAAAGGAAACTGACACTCTGGAAAATTAAATATCTCACCTAAGGTCTCAATCCCAGCATTGCCACTTGCTAAAACCTAGGTTTCCTTACTCCCAAAATTCAACACATTTTACTTTCTACGACAACATGCTACATCTGAGTTTGGGTCAGACCAGATTATAGGTAGTATTGAAGGTTAGGCCAACAAGTATGAACTTTATCCTAGACTATCCTTTTTTTTTTTGGAGGGGGTGATACAAGGGAATGATAATGATCAGAGTCATAAAATATCTGTAGAGATCATCTATATTTCCTAATAATTCTAAATCTTTAAATTTTTTCTTTTTTTTTTTTTTTTTTTTAAAGATTTTATTTATTTATTTTTTCCCCCCAAAGCCCCAGTAGACAGTTGTATGTCATAGGTTCACATCCTTCTAGTTGCTGCATGTGGGACTCGGGCTCACGTTGGACGGAGAAGTGGCGCCTTGGGGCTTGCCCGGGATCCGAACCCGGGCCGCCAGCATCAGAGCGCGCGCACTTAACCGCTAAGCCACGGAGCCGGCCCCTAAATTTTTTCTTATTCACTACAACTTTAGAAATTCTTGGGGGAAGAACAACAAGCATTTCTTTGTCTCACATAAATAATACTGAGTAATGGCAGTGACTAGATTACCATTTATATAACTATTTAATTTATTTATTCATTTGCTTTTGTCTGTCCCTTCCAATAGAATGTATCTTCCAGGGGGGTAGGTCTGTATCTTTTTTGTTCACTCCAGCGCCTAGTAACTGTTTGACACTTAAAAGATGTTCAGTAAGTATTTGGTGAGTGAATTAATAAATGGAGTAATCCTTTATTTACTTTGACTAGATTTCTTCTGGATGTTTTCCTGAGTTTTGTGATTCCATCACCATTCTAAATTAATTTTAGAATTGGGTGAAGCTGCTCTGTTCTTCATATGCTCTGCATTTCAGTCTAGCACAATTGAACTGTTTTGTAATATTAATTTAGGCACTCTTAAAACTCTTGTGCCAGATTTGCTAAGTTTGGGAATGACCTTGGCCTGTAATTTTATTTAGATTTTCATCCACAGATGAATGTGTGTACTTATACCATGAATTAGTGGTTTACATGTGAGGTTAAACTGATGATGAGTCAGGAGGCAACACTATTGGATGAACATATTTGGAAACAGGAAAAAAGAGAAGGCAATACCTTGAAAAATAGAAGCATTAGGCTGAAATAAGTATACACTTAAACTTACATCCTCAAATTAAGTGTAAGTTTCAAACCTGACAAAAAGAAGTCAATAATATTTTGAAGAGTGGATTTTTCTTTAAAGGTGAGATATTAAAACAAAAACACTGAGCCTAAATTTAAATAATAATCTCAGTTTTAAAAAGTAGTCCACATAAATTTTTCCCCTTAGATTTATTTTCAATATAAAAGTATGCAGGAATTAAAATAGGTATTTATTTTTTTACAGCAAAATTTTTACCAGATGAAGAAGCTTAAAAATATTGGCCTATTAGCCCATTTCTAGGAATTTATCCTAATTTAGGAAATAATCTAAACAGATTTATGCATAAAAAAGTTCACAGCAACATTATCTATAAGACAGTAAAGAAAATAGCTTAAATGACCACTTAAGGAAATAGTACTCCATACAAGGAACATTATGCAGCCATTGAAAATGTTTTTGAAGAATTTTAAATAACTTGAGGAAACATTTCTGATAAATTGTTATGAAAAAAAGAAGTGTACTCAAGCAAACAGTTTAAACTTGATAAGCTTAAAAAACTGCATGGAAATATGTCAACTGCAATAGTCAGTGGCCTCTAAATAAAGGAATCATTGGTTTCTTTTTTCCTGCTGTTCTTTTAAGAAATAGTTTCTTTATTTTATTTAAATATATTTTCAGAATTTTCTTCACTTACATGTACTACTTTTATAGTCAGAAAAAGAAATCCATTACTTGTCATAGATATGTGTTTATGTCCCAATGATATGTTTTCAGTATCATCACATGAGTATAAATATTGTTAACCAAAAGAAAAGTTTGATATTATTTAAATCCAAATAATGGAGTTTCCAAAACAAACACTGATACATATCCTATAACTTGTAAAATTATAATGGTTTAGTATAATTTACTAATTATTTTGACAGAGCAAGCTCTCAGTATGTTCACTGATGATGGAGGTGGTTGGAGAAGGGATACCTCTATTAATATACCAAGTTCCTTGACTCTGTCAGTTAGCAACTCTCCTAAGAGTTTAATGATACAGTATGATGTCAAAAAGCTGTCCATAAAATTGCCCTGAGTGATTCACTTTTGCAGACTATTATTTTGTACCTCAAAAAGAACAGTCTCTTAAGTGCTAATTTTTTAAAAACACATAAGAGAGAAAAATTTGCTCTTACCTTGTTTGTTTTGGCCAGCTGTGAGCTTCATGTAAGATTCTGTGATCTGACATCATCACTAAAAAAGGTTTCTTGTGGAAATAACTGGCAACAATACTTACCTTGTAGGATTGTTATATGTTTTAGAGACCACATATGTAAAGTGCCTGGCACAGTACACTGCACATAAGCATTCAGTAAATGGTGGCTATTATTATAATATATAATATTACTATGACTTCTTGTCTGTTATACTCCTATATATGGGATGAATTGAAAAAATATGAAGTGAAGTCTATTTAAAAACATTATTCTAGACTTCCAGATAAAGATGGGCAGTGAAGGCAGACCACAAAAATCTTCCTCCCCAAATACCTTACAAAACGGTAAAAGTTAACAGTAAAAACTCCTTTATAAACATTACTGAAGCAGCCAGAAAATGTCCACAACCTAAGCCAAAAGAGGCCAAAATAATACTATTATTTCAAACTAAATAAATTTGGAACAGCAAGAAATGAAATAGACATGGCTAGAAATCAAATTCTCACCAAAAGGAAAGACTGGCAATCCCAGCACATTCCCCTAGTCAATTCATTCTTCTTTTCTTTGAGATGATTATGCCTCATCTCTTCTCTCCTAAATCTCCCACGTCTCCCAGCGCCTCACTTCAAACTCTTGTTTTATGGATAAATAGAAACTGTCACAAGAGAAACTCATCTTTCCGACACCCTGTCTACTGACCTGCCTTCATCTGTACTCATATAGACTCTTCCTTTATAAAGGATCAGCGATCCCTGCTCTTAGCTGAGGCAAGCCCCTCTATTTGTGCCCTGATCCCATCTTTTCTTGTAGAGTCAAGGATTGCATTCTTGTGATTATTCCCTCCATTTCCTACATCCTCAATTTCTCCCTCTTTACTGGATTATTCTAACCAGTAAACTTACTGTAATATTTCCTATCCTAAAAATACCATCACCCAAGACCCCATATACCCCTCTACTTACAGGGTGAGTAGGAGCCCATTTTTCTGCTCCCCTTTCTAACACACTTTTCAAAGATTGTCTATACTTGCAATTTCCACTTCTTCACTTTACATTATCTCTTCAATCCATTCCTATTATTAGTATTGTCTCTACAGCTCCACCTAAACTGCTCTTGTTGAGATCGTTGACTACCTTCTTGCCAGATACTTTTCCTCTTCCCAAATGTTTGGGATCCCCAGGCATATCCCTGACTCTTTTTTCCCTCTCCATCAACATTCATTTCCCTTTAGGTCATCTCATCTAGTTTTTTTGGTTTAAAATGTTGCCTATGTTCTTAGGACTCCTAAAATTGGTATTCTATCCCAGCTACCTCCATTGAGCCCCGAACTCATATCCAGCTGCCTGCCCAGAACGCCAGTTAGGTGTCTGATAAGGACCTCAAAGTTAACACATTCAAGACAAATCTCTTGATTTTATTCTCCCCCTCAATTTACTTCTCCCCAAGTCTTCCCCAATAAGTGACATTATTTGCTCAAGACAAAAACCTAGAAATCGTCCTTAACTCCTCTTTGGGCCAGTTATTAAGCTGTTATCTCTTAGCAATAAACCCTTCCATACTCTGCTTTGTGATGCCGGCACTGGGATTCTGCAAACTACATTTCTTCTTTGCCAGCTCCCTGACAGCTATGATCTGTCAGTAGAAGGCATTAGAGAAAGACTAAAAGTCAGGAAGAGGGGAAAAAGAACTCGCTCCTTCTTGTTGGTTTTCTTCACCTGTCAGGGTTGCCCCCAGCTATGGACCTTCACCCTGACAGTGGCAGTTAGCTCCAAATTTCAACTATTTTCCACTCTCCTAGAACCAGCTCCAACATACTCTCCCAGAGGTACCAGCAGCAAATGGGCAGCACCCCCTCCTCTGAGGTCAGGGGTCCAGCTCTGCCAAGTCTCCCCTCCCAGCTTCTGGGTTCTAATAACTTCAGGTCTTCCCTGTGTTTATCTGGTACTAGGGGTAGTAGCTAATTCCTGAAGTTACTCTGTTATCTCAGTGCTCCTTTTTGCATTTTCAGTTCTACCACACCTATTTAACCAATTCTTTATACTCAATTACTGCTGTTGAAATACTTAGCAGCAGCCAGAGTAACTCGTGTAAAGCATATACCATCCCCTTGCTCCTCATCACACTTCCAACAAAATTCAGATTCCTCACTGGGGCCTACAACCCTTTTTGTGACCTGGCCTATCCACTTCTCTAGTCTCATCTCTCACCACTTTCCAGGTACTCATCTGGCTCTAATCATTCCTTTTTGAACACACCACTCTCCCATGGCAGGGCCTTCGTACTTGCTTTCCTCTGCATCTGGATTGCCCAGGTCTTTGCCTAGCTCACTACCTCACTTCATTCAGGTCTCTTCTCAAATGTCATCTTAGAGAGGCCTGCTCTGGCTGCTCTATCTAAAATGCACAATTCCTTCCCCCACCCCTCCATTTCCTTACCTGGGTTTCTTATTATCACTACCTGACATTATGTTTGTCTATTTCTCCCTCCTCCATGCTCAACTAAAAGCTTCATAGCTTCATAAAGGTAGGGATATGATCTTATTTACCACTGGTGCTGGCACTTAATCAATTCCAGTTGACAAATGAATTTAATAAATAAATTGCAGTGAATGCAGAAGTAGACCAAAGTATTTACAAAGAAGATAATATGCAAATAAGACAAAGACAATATAATATAGCTTGATTCATCTCCCTGAATACATAAAGCAGCAAATGAATCAGAAAAAGCACTTAAAGATGTAATAGAAGAGAATTTCCACAAAATAATGAAAGAACTGAATCTGCAGAATAAAATGTTCAAAGAAAAACGGACACACTATTCAATATTGAGGCATATCCTAGTTAAGCTGTTAACCATAAAAAATGAAAGAAAAACTTTCATACCACTAGGCAGAAAACTAAATAACTTATAAGAGGGAGGAAGTCATGTTGGTCTTAGACTTCCTCTAAGCAATACTGAAAGCCAGAAAACAAAGGAAAAATGTCTGCAGTTTTAAGGGAAAGCCAACATGACCTCAATCTATTATATCCAAATAAGTGTCATTTAAGAATTGATGAAAAAGGCAAACATAGCATCCATGAATCCGTGTAGGGAAAAAAAAAACCTACTTAGTGAAGAGCAGATAATTAAGTGATGAATCAAAATTAATAACTAGGATATTGAGAATCAAGGTGTGTTTTGAACACTGGATTTTAAGATACAGATCAAGACCAAATGATCAAAGGAATTAGGGTTACAAAACAGAAATAAACATTAAAACCTTGACTTTGTAAAAATATAGACATAACCAGTAAATATACATTTTTCATAGCAGAGTCTATTGGCATTTTAAATTTGAAACATACTGATAAAATAAGTCTCCAAACTCTTAATTTTTGAACTTTGGACATTTTAGGAAATAAGATCTCTTGTGGCAAAGAAACATTTTTCTAAAAAGTTCAGCAATTCCTTCAGCTTATCTTACTATTACCAAGTTCAAATAATTTTAAATTTATACTTTTGTATTTAAAAGTAGTGACATGTTCTCATCTTAAATAAGATTATCTTATTTATATAAATGCATAGAAATATACCTATCATGATGTTCATTTAATATTGATGGTAAAATCTGGGATCTGAGGCAATATAAAAACTTTCCTGTATCTTTCTAAATTGTTTGAATTATTTGTAAATGAACATGTATATAAAAACAATATCCTTAAAATACTATTATACACAACAATGTGAATATACTTACTACTCCTAAACTGTACATTTTTAAATGGTTAAGACAGTAAGTTTTATGTGTTTTTTGCCACAATTAAAAAGAAAATAAAAATTAAAAATACTGTTATAAAACCTATAATATAAAATAGATCCAGCCATTACAGCTTTACAGATGGATTTTGACTCTACCAGATTTTCCTCAAATCAACTTTTCCACCAATGACTACCCCTCAAATTATATCCTTCACATAATACTCTATACTTGGCCTACACCTTATCTAATTTAATTTTAGAAAGCAGAGATTATTCACTGGCGGACACTTACAAGTATGCAAAATGACAGGTACTTATAAGAAGTGACTAATATGTTGTGTTACTTTATTAAATATAATAATGTTGTAAGAATGTAAATATATGTCATTTGATTTACATATTTGAGAGGAAATCTTTTAATTTTAATGATTTTTTTCTGATTGTTAATATATGCTCATTTTAGAAAATATGAAAAATAAGGTAAAAAATTACCATAATCACATAACACTTTGGTATATTTTTCCCTACCCTTTTTCTATGCATATAAATAAATATATTTTTGAATAAATGAGAAATAGTTTTATAACCTAAAAATTTAAGTGTACATTAAATTAAATATTAGTATTTCTCTGTGGCATTAAGTATTTTTATTGATTGCATAATATTCTATTAGATTGTTGCACCATGATTTATTTAACCACTCCTTATTATTGCATATTCAGATTCTTTCCTCTGTATAGATGCTGTAGTGAATAGATATAAATCTTTGACTTCATATTTGATTATTTCCTTAGGATTGGTTCCTGGAAGTGGAACTACTGTGTCAAAGGTTTGGACATTTTTAAGACTCCAGAAAAGGTAATATAATAGATGAGATTGTAAATTTCATTGCATTGTTAGCAACACTGGTTATTAACACTTATTTGTCAATCTGATGGAGAGACTCTTTCTGTAATTTAATTTGATAAAGTTGCATTTTTGCTCATATTAATAACTTTAGTACCTCAAGGACTTAATAATTCTGTCTTCTCCATGATGTTTAACATAGATCCTTGCCCACATGTTGAAGAATGTATTTTTTTATTGACTTTGGCAATGTTTCTTTTAAAATAAATTATATTTTGAATACATAGAAAGGTAAAGAAAAATAACATAAAGAAGATCCAAATTATTTTACTTAATAAAAGGTATGATTGTATTTAATTCTTAATGTAGTAGTATACAGAACATTACTACTATCAGCTAGCAATATCTATTTTATTTATTGAATTTCTTTATTGAAATCATATTGAATTTATGGCTTAATGTGCTATTTTTACTATAGCACTTTCCAAAATGCTTCTAAATGCCTAGTTTATAAGGTTAAGAAAAACATTCACTAGATAACTATTTTGAAATAATTTCCTCAACCCTGCCTTCATTCAAGATGCCTAGAAACAGACTGGCCCACTTCCAGTTTTCCTTCATGTTATCATTACTATGAAGTCATTCTATAGATAGGGTAATAAGCATTCTGGCATACAGAAAAATAGCATCTATGAAACTACATGGCATAGTTTGGTTGGGGTTGTTCCTCCTTCAGAACTGCATTATGTAATTTAAGTGTTTACATAAGCTCCTTTGGGCTGCCTCCATGGTAGCTATGAAGTCACAGAGAATTAGAACAGTTTGGGGCCTGATAACAAAGTCTATCAGTTTAATGTGAATACTGTGTCAAATTTTTTTTTTTATCAATGCCGTATAAGAAATTAAAAACAAAGATATACTTAATTCATTTTTTTTTTTAAAAAAGCATGCTACTTCAAAAATCACTAAGAAATACACACAAAAAATAAAGGGGTCATAAATGTACATTTGCTCATTATCTAGATGTACTTATTTTAAAACCTGCATTCTACAGTATGAATTCACAGTGTGATTTTTGACTCAATATAACTAAGAACAGTTATGCAAAAATTATCAAAATGTATAGACGTATTAGACAGCCTTTAGGAGAGTATGAATTATTGAAATGGCCTAAGCACTATTTCTAAGTCATAGAGGAAGTCTTTCTAAGAGAACATCGAAGATGTATACATTATAATATCAGCTTTAGGAGAATTTAAAAATATACTAGGCTATAAGAAAAGATTACTTCATCTTGATTACTCAAAGAAAGGTAGTATTTTCAGTTCCTTGGAAAAATAACTCTTGAGTGAGTCTCTTTACAGACCAAATAATGTGTACTAAAAACTATGTGTACTGGTTTTAAAGAAAAATAATGCAATGTGCATTGTAAAAGTGGGAGAAAAGAATTTAAATTTTGTATTGTAATAATCAAGTGTATATCACCTTCAAAGAAACATGCAAATTCTTATAAAATACCTAAAATCTCAACCATCCCTTTAGAATTACTAAGTTTTATGAATAAACAAGCCCAAGATCCTGATATCTAAAAACCTATAGCCCTCTTTTAGAAATATCATTTTGTTTTAATTATGTAACATGAATTTATTATAAAATTACTTATTGGAATAATCTTCATAGCATTTTGCTTTTTAACTTTGAGAAGTAAGGACATGCCATTGATGGCCTTGCCAATGATCTAGTGAGGTCCAAAGTCAAGGACAATTCAAGTAGGGAACAAAAAACACTTGTAGGACCTGATCATGGCCATGGAGATATAGCCACTGTGGGGGTCTTGCCTAGCTTGGGAGAGAGAGGTGTCTGTGTACAGGAGGTCTGACCTGGAGGGAGAGAATGATCATGAGAGAGAAAAAGGGGGAAAGATTAAGAGACAAACTGCCTACTCAGATGGGCTCAGGATTAGCTTCACTGTAACAATGAAATGTTTGGGTTTTTGTATTTCATTCTAATATCAAAAAGAGGATATTTATTTGGTTTCTTATGTTTAAACATTTTTAATATACAACATTGTTTATAAATTTATCTGAAGGTAATGTGTGATGATTTTAAACACATTGCAAATTCTTTGATACTCCTCCCATTAAAAGGTAGAGTGTAATTCCCCTCTCTAGAATATGTATGGTGCCAGTGATTTGCCTCTAACAAACAGAATGTGACTGATATGATGCTGCATGACTTCTAAGATTAGGTCATAACAAGTTATACAGCTTCACCTGGCTCTCAGTCTTGGGACCCTTGGAACCCAACAACCCTGTTGTGAGAAAGCCCAGACCACAAGGAGAAGCCATGTGTAGGTGTTCTGGCTGACAGCCCCAGCTGAGGTCCCAGCCATCGGTCAGTACTAATCGCTAGACATGCAAGTGAACAAGCCTTCAGATGATGCAAGCCTCCAGCCTATGAGCTGCCCCAGCTGACGCCAAGTGAATTAGAAACAAGCTGTCCCTGCAGAGCCCTACCCAAACTGCATATTCATAAGTAAAGTAATGTTGTTGTTATTGCGAACCACTAAGTGCTGGGGTGGTTTGTTATGTACTGAGTCCCTAGCTTAAGTTAGCTGTAACAAGTAGGAGGGAGATGGAGGAAGCAAAAGAAAACCCTTTCCTTCCACTTTTCCTTGTTTCCTTAGCCAGACTGAGATTTTAGCACCTCCTAGTACTAAAGATTAAGTGTGGTTTTGAAGTGCCATAGAAACAAAAACACCATCTTGGGGACCCAGTCTATCCAGACTCCTTTTCTTTGAAGGCTTAATGGCTGAGCAGGGAAAAGAGAAAGCTTGATTCCCTCCCTTTCTCCTTTTCTTCTCCCCTGGGTATCCCTAGTTTCAAAAAAGAGGGGAAAGCAAGATTTAATCCTCTCCTGCCCTCATCTCCCTTCTGAATTCAAATCTTTGGAAAGACGCTTTCTTTGTCACTGAAGCCTCTTCATTCTTATACAGGGACCAAACCAGCGACAATGCTTTCATGCCTTATCAAGGAAGCAGGATCTACTAATCAAAATTATATACCAGGGACACCACTTTGTCTTTAGTCACTCATTACTGTCCTTCAGAGGTTCCTCCTGCTCCTCCTCTTCCCCTAAATGGTGTTCCCCAGGGCTCCCTTCTCAGACCTCTTCTCACTTGACATACTTGCTGGTCCATCTTATTCACTCTTCACCTACATTTTAATGACTCTAGAGAACCAGAGCTTACTTCCAACCCTCCTGGGATAGATTCCTGATACCTCAAATTCCAGAGGGACAAAACAGAGTTCCTCCTCCTGGACCTGAGGCCCACGCCTCCACCCAGTCCACACCCTAGACCAGAAACCTGGGGATCCCTTGCCCTTACTCCATACAGCCAGTTTCCCATTCTACCCACTCTTTTAAATTATTTTCCTTGAATCTCTCTTCTCTGTATCCCCACTGCCACTAGGTACACAGCAGTGGTCCTCGTGGATTCTTACCTAGCTCACAGGCTGTTTTATAGTCCATCTTCAAGTCTCCAGGACCCAACCAGTGTCATCCTTTCAAAGACCTGTAATCATTTCACACCTGAGCATGCATTTCCATTAAAAAAAAATCCTTTCATGGTTCTCCCTTTCTATAGGTTTTAATCCTGAAGCCCAATACTCAATTACTCATAAAGCAGAGTAATCCCCCCCCCCGAAAGAGTATTTTAGTATAGATCTATAGGTGTATTTTTCTGAAGAGAGACCACACTGCTTTACATAGGTTCTCAAAAGGGTATGTGCCCCCCAAAAGGCTAAAACTTGTAGGTCTCAGGCTAAGGTCCAGACTCTTCAGCATGGAAAAGAAAGCCCTGCATGACCTGGTCATTCATCCGGCTTCCTTTCTCATCCCCCTCTTTGCTCCCCTCACCTCCCACCCATACTTATCAGGCTGTGGTTCTCCACTACAGGCCTTTGCACATGTTGCCTTGCTTGCTCATCTTGGGATGCCCCTTCCTTTCTTCTTAGCTGGCCTAACTTTTGCCATCCAGGAAACTATCTTCTTTCTTTCAAGAAACACCTCAAGTCATGCTATCTACAGAAGGCTGTGCAGGCTAAGCAAAGTGTTAACTCTTGCCTCCCTGAAGCCAGCCTAGCAATTGCTCTTTCTCTTAGGATCTGCCTCCTAGATTTCCAAGCTTGGGTGGGGGTTGGGGGTGGGAGAATAGGAAAAAAAAACAAAACAAAGTAAAGCCTGTAAAACAAGCAGTGACTGAAAATTGTGCAGCACTTAGTGTAGAAGAACCTCAGGCTAAATATACAGTACATTTTTGTGGTGCTTTCTTGGGAGAGAAACTGGGTGGTGAACATGTAATTTATAATTGCCAGCAGATTTTTGATGATAAATACCGCACACCTTCCTGTTACAGAATATTGTATAGTGATTTTCAACATCATCCGGTTTTCCTTTATTTTATGCCTAGCCACCACATGGTGTTATGTATTTAACAAATCCTGTAATTAATAAACAACGCAGTTCTGATATTCTGCAATCTACTAGGAGGACTGCTGGGTCATTTGTCTGAATTATTGCTCCTGGTTCACGCAACACCACCCAAAAAAAGTCTACCGTCATGCTGTGCCCCTAAAATTCTCTGTGTACCCTGGAAGATGATCAACTTGTTGAGATAAACTGTGTTTCCGATTAGTCTCCTCAGGAGACCTGCTATGCCTTATAGCACAGGCTCTAACAGTCAAAAGTTTCCTCTTGCAGACAAGTCGTCTTTTAATTGTTGCCCCATAAGGGAGCTCTTCGCATTTCTTGGTTGGACGGATCTGAGCAAAGTGTATTTCCCTGCTAGTAAAGCATCAACTTATAAATAGCGCTCACCGCGCTGAGTCACCAAAACCCGGAGTCTCCCCAAATAGCTTATAACGACTGCTGGAAACGCGTCCCCCGGAGCGGTGACAGACTCCTACCATACACCCGCGGGGC